AACGCATAATTAAAGAACGGATGAACTTGGTGACGGGGACGCCATAACGAAAAGAGGATTCCGCGAGCTGAACTCGGCCAGTCCAGAGGCCAGCCATGTGCTCCAATATGATGTAGCACAAAAGTCCATGCAGCCATGCGAACAACGGCAGAGCGCACGTCTAGAAACAACGCTGTACCAGCTGCGCCGTAGGCGCATAGGTGGGCAAAAGGATCGTCATCCCTGGTCGAGAAACCCTCCTAGTGTCTTCCCCAGGGCCTTGAACCCTAGGTCGGCCGAGCGACACCTTTTCCCTTCCTCCTATCGCACACCGCGCCAAAAAAACTGTTGCTTTATACCCGTTAGGTAACGAAGTGTGTCCCGGGTACGATAGAAGGAACGTGTGAGCAGGGACATGAGCCTACCTATACCGAATGCCGAATTTGTCCAGAGAGGAGCAACTTTCTTGTCTCTTTTTCGTTAGCCTACAAGGAAGATGTCTAAAGCACGGACAATCACGCAGATTTGTATATGCAATACAAACCAATACAAACTATGTCTTAAATCCCGCTAGAAACTTCGGGTAGCGTTGGCACTGGCCGATATCTACCCGTTCTTCCAAAGCACGAACCCGTACCGAGCCAAGTTGAGTTTAGCTTAGCTACTTTTACTTTCCATTGCTAGTATTAGTTATACAAATGTATCTGTAGTATGATCTGCTAGGTATCCGATATATCTCTGAAGTTATTGTTACACATACATACACATATAGACCCGTATCGTATATATTGCATAGTAGTGGCCGCAGAATAACGTGGGGGAACCGGTAGGGGTTTTTCAAATGAGGATATGTTTGATTTGGCCGCCTAGGAGGGAAAAAAACCGTATCGAAGGAAGAGGAGTACCTAAATCGAGGGTTCTACCGGGATTTACCATCGCTTTGCTTGTTAGATTTGGAACTGTTCAGCTCTCGTCTCTCTCGAGTTAATTTGTATAGTAAGTCATGTGTACGCCGAAAGAGAAAGTTCGCAAAGTCTTTCCCCTACCTTGACGCAACAGGTCGGGCCTTTAATCCGAACCACAGCAAAGAGAAGGTACTTGATCTATCTTAAGAATCCTTGAAACCCTGAATCTCCAGTTATGCTTGGAGTTAGGTACGGCTGCATGGCGCGCAGGTGGTTTTATCGTGGCTGCCGCGTCTGTTACGCACGTCAAGCGGGGCTATTACCACGTACTCTGGTCGTTAAAGGATGAGAATCCTCGACCCCTGGTAGTAGCTACCTAGTTACGGGTAGAAGGTGGGAGTTATACATACTGCTCAGGGGTTACGATAGAAACACCTCGACGCTGGTTGGCCTATCACCACTCATACTTGTTTCACAGTATCGATATCAATGATGTAGGTTACAAAAGTACAGACATCCCCAAACTGTCAGGTGGATCTTCAAAGCTAAAAGATAGACGCTGTGTTATTCATTATCTTGGTTATATTACTATAGTATCAGGTTGTCAGGCTACCTGTGTTTCTCATATAAACAGGTTTATTGTAGTATATTAGGTTACTCGGTATGCGAAATACCTATTTACCTCATGACTAGCCAAGCTACCCGCAGTGGGAATTTTATGTCACTAGGATTCCCAATCATGTATGGGACTTTGAGACTCGTCTTGCGGCATGGGCTAGTACCGTAACCAGGAACCAATAACAAACATTAGTCTAGATCTCCGGGCTAGATCGAATGTAAATCTAAAGCCTAGACATTCCTCTATGCGCATATGAAATGTATATACAAAGTGAAGCGTTTGATATGATGCGGCACAAGCTAAAGCCACGAGGTTAATAGCTGTAGGGCGTACACCTACCTATCATAGTAACAGAGGTAGGCTTAATAGGGGGATTAACATGGATCCCGTGTGGTGATTACCCTTCCCCGGACGTCAAAGCTATAGGCAGCTAACAATATGAGTGCGGCACGACACCCTAAAAAGGCGTCATACGTTAAACTTCCATGCAACATTGTAGGTTGATCTGTTACTTCGAAGGTAACGGGCTCCACTCGAGAGCGTCGCTGTGCCGTCTATCAGCGTATCTAATTTTTTCATACCTATTCTACATAGATAGCTCTCTGGCCGTCTCAAGTTTGCCAGATGCGGGTAATTACCTAGCATTGCACGATGTAGGTGAGAGCGAAGAGGCGGAGAACATCAGATGAGATTCCCAGGCTCTATCACTCTACGGTACGCTCCTGTTCTATTGTTGGGCAGAGGGGCACAGGTCTCAAACTCAGCGGTAATTCTGGGGCTGCTAAGGAAATTGCAAATAACCTTCTGACGGCATCGGCCGAGGAGCTTCAGGGATCTTTCAGTAGCGATATACATGGCTCCATCTACGTTTTTGTCTGATGTTGGTACCGAATAACGGGATGCGGTATCCCCTTGTCGAGTGATCTTAGCTGTTGGTAGTTAATAGGTACTTCAAGGTCAAGTACCTCGAATTTGGACCAATCCAAAAAATACCGGTGAGCACGGAGCAGATCCTGTGGTATCTGCTGTTGATTGATCTTGGTTGTGAGGAGGGCCTCGCTACGAAAGCTAATGTTAGAACACCTGGGGTAATCGAAAGATATTGATCAACTTTTGTCCAACAAACATTACAGCCCCCAATAAGACTACGTTGTGCATTTGATGGCAATGAGTCAGCGTAGGGCTTTGTGGCTAGCGGGTCTACTGGAGAAACTAACACGAGCAATACGATCATTTTAATAGCCTACTCGGTTGTCTCCATATGTAACATCAATTGGTATCAATACCTAATAGTATGTTAGGATTCTAGATAACTAGTTAAGATATCTAAAACATAGAACATATTCAATATGTATAGCCACAAGGCTTCCGGACTTGGAGTTCCTCGCGGAACAACGAAATCGTTTCTTAGCTTCTTGGCCTACCTCGTAAAACAGTAAAACACAACTTGGTATCCAAGATGGTTAGTCAGTACACATGTTGTAGTGGTTATATAAATTATAGCCGAATTACTAAGTGTGTAAGGTGTCTCTTATCGAACAAGAGCCGGTTTAATGTAAACTAGGGTCAGTTTACTGTAATTATATCACTATATTTTACTTAGGTATGATACTTAGGTTGGTCTCTAATAGCTTATTATCGATGGCTTAATCCTATTCTTGACATGAAAATGCCTAATATTATTTCATGCCTATGGACTTTATCTCTTTAAAAGTGGTGTAAATTTTCTCCAATAGTTGCCAATACGTAAATTAAAGACGAATATGCTTTGGGGGACAGTTAGAAGCTTTCTGTTGATGTTCACAAACTAGTAGGAAACCCGTTGCGAGCAACTCTGGATGAGACATCTGGAACAAATGATACTGTAAGTAGGTATGTATATTTAGCTACGAGCTTATATAGTTACCTAGGCATAGGGTTCCTTGCAGAATAACAAGGTTGCTTCTGTGTATATTTCTAGGGACATCTATAAAGCTCTAAGGGAACTGAGCCATTATTTTCTCTGAAGTACGAATGGTTACTTGTGGTTTTCTATCACGAGGCTGAAACTAAACGTATTATCTATAGATGGCTGGTTGGTATATTAACACCGGGGCCAAAGTGAAGGACCGGCCCTCCAAGACCTCTTTAGGGATATGCGGCGTGCAAAACTATCTTAAGACTAATATACATTTGTATTCGGTTTTCCAATTTCCTACAAATATAACCTTGAAATATACACATAATAATGTTCAGGCCGTTCTCGCTAGCTCCTCTGAGTGCACCTGTGTTCGGTGCAATGTTGGGTTTCAAGGGTCGCATACTGAGGTGCCATAGGCTCACTTTCAGCCGTTCCGCGCCATGCCTATGAGGGCGTGAGGCTTGTTCCAGTCGTCTTTTATTGACAGTGATTTTCTAAGGAGCTTAGAATATTAGATAATGTAGCATGCTACAAGGCTCTCTTTATATACCTACCTACCTAGTAGGTATATGGCATAAAATCATCAAACTTCTATAGCAATCGTGACACACTCGTCAATAACGAAAATATATTTGGGATCATGTTTTATAAACCCTGATTACGCATCTCTTTCAATCTCGCGTTTTTGATAAATGTAAGCTCTCTTGGAGCTTTCCTCTTTGGTACTTGATCTTAGCTGCGGTCTTGATAATGGCTATTGCCTCGCTGCTATATAGTGACTAAGCGTAACACTTTACATGACTTCGCTTTGGTTCATGGAAGATTAGAAAAAGTGACATGTGGACAAAATGTAGAAGTTCCCGATCTCTCCCCAAAAGCATTAGATACTACAGACCATATTTATGATATTATTCAAACTACCGGTACAGGAGCAAATATTATTGATTGCCTGGGGAGAATTTGAATATCTGAGGGAGATTTTGACACTATGATAAACATAGACACTACTGACAAACGAGGAAAGTGAAAAGGGGAAGTAAAGTCTCCTAAATTATACGTACGTAGAGTACATGGGCAGCCTTAGTGTTATTCAACTGAAATATCTTACTACAAAGGAAGTTTAATGAGTAGGTACCCTAGGTAATCAAATATTTAGCACGTTTACATTTAGTACTGCAGGATAGTTTGGAAAGGAGAAATGCATTGCTTTGTCTATAATGAACCTTATAGGGCCATGAAAGAACTAATTACAGCATGATGTGCATCTTAAGATGCTTAAACGAAAAGTGAAGAACTGCGCAAACCATGTCCTGGGCAAACTATTCTATGGAAGCCCATAGATGAGAATCGAAGAGGTGTATCGAGGCGATCATATTGGCCTGCCGTTATACTCCCTCCTTTTTCGTGGATTCTGCTGAATTGCAGACAACTATCAAGTAAACTCGCATGAATAAAAATCAATCTTCCTAATTTTCCCCATTTTCTCAAGATTCTTTTGTCCCAAAACACTCTGCCTCCTAGTCATGAACTCATTGAGTGAAAGGGGAATATTATCGGGATGCAGAGCCCCATCCCTACTACTTCTCCTCGGTAACATTTAGTCCTTGTGTGGGTAAAAGGCGTCGTCATCTTCCTCAGAAAAGCTTTTTGCTTGCTCATCAAGGATTCTCTGGCGGGCATGCCTGTCAACTGGTGGCATCGGTCCCTGGGGAGTCATGGCATGAGCAGAATTACCCATGTGAGGCTGCGCCATTTGCGATTGCTGTCCCTGATATGGGTTCTGGAAGTATCGAGCCTGCATAGGAAGATAGTAGTTATTGAAAGTCGGGCTGCTGACTACAGTCTGGCGCGGATCAGTGATTACCTGGCGACTGCTGGGGACGATGCCGGGAGGGGAGGTAGTACCAATACCATGGCCTCTAGTTCGGGGACGAGTAGGTGTCTGAGAGCTAGGGTGGTGCTGGTGCCCTTGCGAAGGCGGAAGGACAACCCGAGGGGTTTCAGGGCTTGTGGTACCGTTTGGCATCGTCTCAGGGTGGTGAGAAGGGGAAATACTGGCGCCATAAGGCATCTGAGAGGAATAGTTCGGGTTCACATAAGCTGATAAACCTGGACCCATGGGCGCAATAGGTGCTAAATGATACTCGTTAGCCTGGATTGATGGAACTGACTCTAAAATGATTAACTTACCGGTACCTCCCTGTCCGAAGTGTGAAGTAGCAGACCCTTTCGAAGGACCAGAAGGTTGATTCGTGGATACGTATCCCGTATACAGATTGGCAGGCTTCAAGTTCTGCTGCGGTCTAACTTGGTAGGGTGGGTAGTTGCTGTGAGCATGTTTGGGCTCATAGTAGGGGAAAGATTGAAGGGTTTCCGGAGGTGTAAGCGGCTGCATCCCACCGTTGGTGTTGTTGCTGTTGCCATTGGCGGCGTTGTTGTTGTTGTTGTTGTTGTTGTTATAAGACATCTTAGCCTGTGGTAGATGAAGATATTATCAAGATGATCTAGACAGGATAGATAAATCGGAAAGGTCAATTAAACCTAACCAATTGGGATTACTTGAGGATAGGAAAAAGAGTCTTGATTAGGATCTGGGAAAGTGTAAGAAACTTATTAAGGAATCAGGTATTGTTTGCCGTGGGAAGTTTCTATATTGGCCAGGTGGTAAGTACGATATTAAAAGGAGCGACTGATGACTTGGAAAGAAGGAAATAACAACCAATGATTCATGTATTAGGGATGAGATAAAATATCATCCCATCGTTCTTACCTGAAATTAGGTATTGAATAACTAGCGCGTGCTACTATGTCCCTGTTACGGAAGCAACCAAGCAAATAAAGCAGCGTTTAAAATCGTACTTGTTAATAGTCAACAATAAATTTAGGGTAGGTACGAATGTAGAAAAGCACGATAGCCTGATGTTTCTTGAAGGGAAGTTACGACGATATATAAATTATTAGGTATCTTAGGTACATACGTGTACTGGATCTTACAATATAAAGATAACGCCTAGTTGAATTGTATTTTTCTTGATATAGGAACTGTCACCACGTGAATTTCATAGGACAACGACGTTGTTACGCCATGAGTTCCCAACCCAGGTTACGTATCTAGGTACTCATGGCGCTCATGAATGTGCATAAAATTAACGATTCCTTTGTTAGGTATGTTTTCTCCCATTAAACTGGACGGACAGGTTCTGGGGAAATGCTAAGTTACCTTAGGGAGATGCAATATGTATTAATGCTGCATGGTCATGTCCATCTGGCAACTATGTTGGTTGGCGTGTGCTATATTCTTGATACCCTTCCTTTCTATCCTTTTTTGCAGAAGAATTAACCCCTTTATACATGTTCATTGCCTTGGTGCTTCATACCAGTGGTCTTCCATCTCTTTGTAGAGAATCTTGGGGTCTTAGCTGCCATTAGGACGATACGCATTCTTAGACTAGGTTGGCAATTGTACCAACAGCATTGACGACTATTCTATCCTCGGCCGGGTATTACAGGGGGTGGTGCAATCCTAGTGTCGAAGACCCTCCGATCAACAGCCTTAAAGTCAAATATCTTCTCAAGCTCTGCTTTAACAACCAAGAGCTCCCCATTTGCTTTCTTCACCTTTTCCGGCTGGCTGTCATCAATGACATTCAGTTTCACATTCAACACCCATTTTTGTGCTGGATCTACTGGCCGAAGATCGACCCAAGGAGGGAGAGCACCCAGTGGCCGCCCTTGAGATTCTGGAAGGTGATAGTATCTGCTGAAAACAAATTCGACGTTCTCCCTGACGAAAGAGTAGCTCTCCTGAATGATTTCATTCTTGTACCTAATAACAATTCATCAGCATTAGTTCTATCTCATCACCTACTTAGCCAATATAAAAGCAAGACATACTGAAAGCCATTGTCAGTGAGAGCCGTTGGAAGGCTATTCTGCTCTGGAATCTCGATCTTCTTTCTCTGCGTTACTGGTGTGTCTCGAAGAGGGTCTGGTAGATCTGTCCACCGCAAAGTGCCAGGTAAAGCATTAAACTCCATATTAGTTTCTTTGCCGAAATCCCTATCTGGTACAAGTTCGTAGGCCAGCTGAATAACATATGATGATCGATTTAATTGGCTACTTAGATCTTTCCAGAGCTGCAAGAAGCGTGATTGCTGGAAAGCACGCGTGACTTTGAGGGGCTGCGGTTGTGGTTGGCCATGAAAGAATAGAATACGATGGACCATGTGACGAGCATTCATCCACGTCAAACCTTGCAAGACTGCACAAGCCATTGCGAAATCTGAATCCTTGACGGATGCAGTGAGAAAAAGTTCCCGCATATTGTCTGGTGGTAGTAACCTCTTTTGCGGCCGAGGTTGAAAGCTTGGGATTAAGAAGCAACACTGGAAATCAATAGAGAGTATTAATCAAAATAAGTGAAGTGGGATTTATAATGGATGCTTGTAGTATGGGGGAATAAGTTTTGAGAGCTGTTGATGTTCATGTTGAAAGTTGAAGCTTAGTTGATGTCGACCCCACAGACGCCTGTAACGGGCCGACAAAACGGCTGGGCTAGGCAGTACAGTACCTGGCTGATGCCCCACCTATATCCAGCGTTGCACAAACACAAGGGCCATGAGTCTCTAAGCCGAATGTCCAAAGGGTTTTTGTAGTAAAAAGTGAGAAATAGGGATTTTTATCCTTGAAGAATCATATTTTCGTCAGTGTCTCTCTATATCTTGTAGTTAAGAACCCAAAATTAACATTATTTTGGCCATGCCAAACCGAGGTAGAATAGGAATAGACACAATTCATTTGATCTAGACTATTGAGCATCTCGTATGAAAGGGTGAAATTTATAGTCATAAGTGTATAGCCATGTGTGGTTAGAATTTTTTCTTTATTGGGCATTAATCATTTGAAATGAGCGTGATTCAGTGAACCAGCGGTATCCCATGTCTCTATCGCTGCATCATCTTACACGTCGAACTCGTCCGCTCATTCTCAATACACCACAACCCATGCTATTACCGGAATCCCCTTGCCATACCATACACCATCCCCTTTTATTTTACTGCTAGAAAAGTAAATGCTCCGGGCCTCATGCATATATTTTAAATTACACGACCCTTGACCTGCTTGAAGTCCTTGACTTTGATATCCCGCCAGAAGGCGACAGAAACAAGGCCTAGCACAGTAATGGCCGTAGCAGCGACGAACATCCACCTTAGGCCATCGCCGTAGGCTAGAATAATGGCATCCCTAGTCGGCGAGCCAACAGGGTATGAGAGCTGAACTGGAAGTTGGCCGTAGATATCCGTAAGATTTGCCTGAGACTCCGCAGGCAAGTACTTGGCCAGTGCCTTGGGGAAAACACCTGTCCAGATGGCGGCGGAAACAGTGCCTCCAATAGCACCACCGACGCTACTAAACATACCCTCCATGGCGAGGACAACGGCGACGTGTTGGTGAGCTGCAGCAGCCATGACGGCCATTTGCTCGCAAATAACGCAGGCACCACCGGCAAAGGCATATAGGATCTCGCACATGATAATCCAACCAATGTGAGTACCAGGCTGTCGGAAGTGAATGAGTAGGCCGATGCTGAGAATTGTGACCGGTACACCGAAGTATAGGGTAATCCACTTGAAACGACCAGTCCAGCGGATTAGAATGCCCACTATGAAGGAAAAGAAGCACGATCCAAGACTGTAGATATTGCCGATATAACCAGTTTGGGTTACATCCAGGTTGAGGACAACCTGGAGGAAGGAGCTGAAGTAGGCAGTCCAGATGTAATATTCAACAAACAGAACAGCGGCGAGAATACAAGCTCCAAGGACGGTTCGATCTTTGAGGAGCTCCCAAGGCATAAACTTGACTGGTGCAAAGAATCTTTCCCAGACCACAGCTCCGATGAGAAGCAGCCCACCGAATATGATCAAGCAAATGACCAAGGGGTCCTTCCAGCCATAGTACTGATAAGAGTAGATATTGAAAGGAAGCAGGAAGAGTGCAAAGCCACCCGTAAGAAGAATAAGACAAATAACGTCAAACTGCCAGAAGTAATATTTGATCGATTCCCATGTTGTGCGGCCGCTCGGGGTATAAATAATCAATCCAGCCTTCTTTGCCTTTTGGTAGTTCCAAGTAAACAAGAAGAATAGAGGAAGGCACATGATCGGAGTAATGATGGAGAAAATTCCGAATCCCCATCTCCAACCAATACCATATAGGATGCTGTCGGCCATGGGAGCGGTAATCCATACGGTTATAATATAGGGAGACGAAACGAACGCCAACATTAGGGCTCGGTTCTTCAGGTGTGAAGTATCGGCGATGAAAACAGAGAGGGAGTAACTGACTCCATTGTATCTGAGAGAGTTAATATCTTTGGTCACTGAAGGATTTTCGGGAAGTTAATACTTACCCAACCCAATAGAATACCTGTGCAGCTGCATAAGTCTCGACGTTGTTGCATGCTGCCATCATGACAAGTCCAACGGTCATTAGAAGAACTACGACTAGGAAACCTTGAGGCCGACCCCAGATATCCAATATTTTCGCTAGAGTGAGCTTCGAAACACCGCCAATGATACCAGACATGACGCCCGTCGTGGCAGTCAACGAATGGAGGGCAAACGAGCTAGTAACATAGGGGGTCAAAAGAGACCCCATGCCCTGTTGCATAGAGTCGACAAAGTAGATAATCCAGATGCTACAGACATTATTAGTTTACCTATAAGACATGGAAATATAAGAGGCGGTCTAGCAGTGACTTACAAGACATAAGCTAATATGAGATTAGACATAGTCCAGACCTTGGTTGTGGCCTCGATTTTCTGAACACCGGCCTGAGCACTAGTGTCGATGGCGTCGACATCGGTATCAATCTCACTATTCCGGGGTTGGCTATCGACGACGCCAGCTTCCTTATCGTTCGCTGGGTGGGATTTCTCCTCCACCGGCACCTCAGTAGGGCGGGCGAACCGAGCGAGCGGACCTCTCATTGTGGCTATTGGATCCGAGCAATCCTAGTCGATCAAGTGGTGGTTCTGACTTGATATAAACACAGCGTAACAACTTCCGTGGACTGACTAGTATTGGTATCAAGCCGGTCGTGTCGTAGTGTAGACGGTGGCCAGCAATTTAAGCAATTGCAATTGTAATGCAATGCAATGCAATGCACGCCAAGCGATGAGCTATTATCTACTCTTATATACGTAAGGATATATACAGAGAGATATATATATTCTCGGCCGAGAAGTGCAATGATGCTGGCTGGCTGGCTGGCTGGATTAATGAAAAGGAGAGATCTTGGGTGGTTAAGCCTATCCTTTTATTTATCTGATGGGCATTTTGATCAGGTAGGCGCTCCTACCGTACCGGAGATTGATAAGTGGGAAGTACCCTAGCTAACCTTGATCTCTGGGTCTGGCCATGCCACCATGAGGGTAACCAGGTATGTTAGGTCTAGGTACATAGGTAACTAAAAGAGTGGGGTATACTATCCCAAGTAGAGTGGAGGGTAGCTACTATGGGATGACCGAAAGTACCTGAGAGACATACATAGTATAGTACGAGATTTGAGATTCAAAAATAAACGAAGATTAAGCAGAAACTCCATACCTAGAAGGGTATACTCTACCGGACGCTTCTTCGAAGCTAGGAACATGCCATGGCTAGAAAATATTAAAACTACCTCTTAATTCCACTTTGTTTTGCTCTATTTTGATCTATTTTAGAAATATGAAGAGAAATTACGTAAAATTATCCCATAAATCATCCGTACTTATGCTCAAGCTGAGAAGGGAAACCTGAATAAAGTGTAGTTTGCGAGTTGAGAAAAAAATTCAGCTCCGAAGAGGGAAGGTTCCTCGGGCATTCCAGGTGAACTAGCGATCCACCAACATTCAAGGGACCTGGCTTAGCCAACCTCGATTAGGCGCACTAGCCGATTTAAGTGGTACCGGTACAGGAAAGACGGGGACGCTAGCAGAAATTATCTTATCAATCAGTACCCATCAACCGAGGATCAAAGCATGACCTACGCGAGCTAACAAAGACTAAGCTTGACTCCGATGGAGGATCATATTCTCGATCTTGTTGGCGCATTCTAATAGCTTGGCTAACATTACGTCGAGACCGTGGCGGGTGGAGACGTGGGAGCAGTTTTCGACGTTGAAAGATCTTCTTCAGCTTTGCGCGACTTTCTTATGACCATAAGGCGAGACACGGAACCTAACTGGAACGTGGGATCTATTGAGAAGGCGAATCAGCTCATGACATCAAGAAACCATAAGTAGAAGTTAGTAACAAGTTGATATCCGGTGATCACCGGTCATTATAGGTATAGGGCATCTGCTATAGACTGTATCTATGGTGTAAGCTCGCAGTAGACAGTCTACTAGATTGTTAACTGACGACAAGCTTCTTAAACTCGACTTGGCATCTAAACGGATTCCTGAATCTCTCAGATTCTGGTAATGAATCGTCCGATCTATTCGAGATCCTCGACAGACCTAGATGTATAGTAGCTTCCTAGTGTAAATTGTCCATGTTCCCGATAGCTCGATACCGTTTGCTTATGAGACCCAACACCGGCCAATTCCCTAAAAAGAGAAGAGAGGTGCCGATATCGCGGCCAGAATTCGGAGTAATCGATGTCGTGTAAGCAAGCCCTCGACGAGGTTCCCTCCCTGTCGTTGATGCGCGCTATCACGAAAATCCACCACGGGGAGGATTACGTGTACCACGTCGTATGCCAATCATACCGAATGTGCGAATAGCATGTCCAAGGAACGGGTATGCAATGCACATGCAGATATCTAGTGTAATCCCCGTCTTGTCTCCAACTGTGTGGACTGAAATAAATTATCACCATGTTTGATTTATGCTGATTGCTCTTTTTGATCATCGGGTGGGCTTAGGTTGGAACCTTATTCAAGCAAGTTGCTAAAGAAAAAAAAGAAAAAAGTCCGGATCAGTATTGGGTATGTGACACGGTTGGACGGATGGCAAGGATAACCCACACTATGTATTACCCACACGAGCCTCTTTCCTTGGCCTGTGCACCTTTAAAAAAAGCATTCCACGTGATCAATCTTTTTTTTTTCTTGCTAGATCTAGCTTAGTATTTTTTTCCTTACGAAAAGCTTCATTTCGGCCCACGCGGTTTTCAATTGACGGCAAGTATCAACAACCGGATAGGAAATACCGGATCTGACACCGTGTTTAATATTTTAAGATGTCGGCGTCACAAAAGCCAATCCGTCTTCCTCCGGTGAAAGTCCTCCGAGTTCGCAACCCGAATGGTCAGAGGGAACGTCCGTGCATGGCTCTCATGTCATCTGTTTTAGGTATGCGCAAATACATCGCTTTTCTTAGATCTCATTAAATATGGAAATATGGAAATATCATGTCAATGACGTCTTACTACATCATACTTGAGCTAATCCAATATGTTCTGTAGCATGCTGGGCATCTGCAGGATATAGCACCGTTGGATGTGCGCAGGTTGAACAGGCCTTGCGGAATTGCATGGATGGACCACAACCTTCGAAGCCCAAGAGCAGCGAGATCAACTACCACCTTGCGCGATTCAAGGATAGGCTTACCTACGCGGAAAAGAAAAAGAAATGATAGCTCTAAAGAGGGAGAATATGACAACTATCAGCCGTGGTCGAAAAAACTACTTCGTCTTATCAGATCTTGGCACACCCTAAACGAAGATATGATATAAAGACTTTCACTCCTCTGTACGATACGGTGGAAGATTGCGGAATGAAAAAAATGCTCCTAGTGTTGAAAGCATAAGCCGGCGTTCTAGGTTGATTTGAACGGGGGCCCGAATATGACGACCATCAACCAATTGATACTAGAAACGTACAATTAGGTTAGAGACGCCATTCTGGGGGAGGATAGGCATACGCAGTCAGATGTGAGCTGAACACAGGATTGCACCCATCAGCAGGCCATATAGCTTTGGAGGCCACTAAATATTAAACCAAGCGTACCTATATACAAACAAAAGAATACTGGCCAAATGAAAGCCATTGACATCCCCAGGCTTTATTTACAATTCATTTGACTAGCTTACGAATACTGTCAACACTACTGGAAAGCCGAACAAGTTTTTCCGCCCCCTGATCCATAACTTCCATATACCCTCTATATACTCTCTCCATATACCCCTAACCAGATTTTACAGCCTTCCTCCCTCACCCCGCTTCTCAAACCTTGTTTTTAGCATAAGCAAGGCAGGTGTAAGCTCTGATAATTGCTACAAGTCCTTCCCGCGGGCGTCTCGCTTCCCATCTGCAGGTATACTTGCCAGTAGTCGCCGGTCAGCTTGCAAACCAGGAAGTTGAGCTGGCGGCCGTAGTTGCTGCCCTGGCTCGTGATGATCGTGTCTCCCTATTTATGGCGATATAGTTAGAAATTGGTGCATGGTAACTATGTTAAATATACTTAGGAATTCGAAATAGTACCTCTAGCCCCCAGGCGTCAGTAACGGTCGCCTCCGCGAAGGTTAACGTTTTGTACGAGGTCTGGTCGTTTCCGATGTTCAAGAATAACGACGTGTTCATGCTCTGGATCCAACCTCCGATGTTGAAGTATTCGCTGCTGGCTTCAGGCCCCATCACCGGTATCTCGGCTGCTCGAAGAATAGCGGTTAGTTCCACACACTATGCTTGAAACTTGAGGGTAGAGGAAAGGGGGGGCATGCCGAATATAGAGACTGAGGGGTGAACATACGGTCCTCTGGGTACGCTTGTAGATAGTAATGAAAGATAGGCGACTGCACGGCGCGGATCTGCTCTGGCTTCGCCAGCGCCGCCGGAATCACCGCGGCAGCGATTAAAAGGAGGCTGCGAGCAAGAGATGAGAGCATCTTGTCCTCTTGCCTAGGTAGAGAGACTCTGGATCTAACAAGGAACAATCGGTTATTAATAAATATTTACTAAGCTGAAGCGGTGGCAGGAGTATAATAAGTTGGTTACATAAAACTATAAAACCAAAACTACGAGTCCTGGATGGTGATGATGAGTGATCTTCAGAGCGGTTTTACAGGTGGACAATATATATATCTACAACGCCACCTGTTAATTTACACGGCTCAACTGTGTTCAAGGCAATGGAACGCTGCATAGCTATAAATAATTTGAACAGGGTATAAGGAGGAGAGCTGTATACTAATTTGGCTGAGAAGGGAAGAATTATACAGAGCCAATCGGACGAATTAGGTAAAATGCGGAAGACTATGTCCGTTCACACTCAACTTCCTACGATGAGCCAAGCAAATATCTCGTAAGGCTAGTTCGAGACCAAGATAAATCACATGTTAGAACCTTGAGTATACTACTCAAACGAGTATTCTACGTAGATCGAGAAAGCTCCGAATATGCATATAATATAGTCACAGAACGGCTTGGAAAATCTTAGCATCAATCCACCTATATATAAGTAGCTGGCTGTCAAACTCTTACTCCTTTAACCACTCTAAGCGGGACCCCGCTAGTGCCACTCGCCATGCTTCAAGGCATCATGGCCATCAACTACGTCATGTCGGATCTGCATTACACCTTTAGTTTGAAGCCCTAGCTTTACTCCCGACAATGCTATAACAATCCTCTTGCTCTTTCATGTTTGCAAAGTGAGACGCGAAACAGCAGAACCGCCATCCATTCTTAACTAGCGCCGACCCGTGCAAGGTTATCAAAAATGGTCAAAGTCCGAAATACCTGATTATCCTTCTCATGGCTCCCTCTATGGGCTAGTAGCCATGCTACCCAACCCAGTAAAAGCCCCTTGAATTTCGTTGAATGCTTGTGCCGCTTCATACGGTAATGATAGTCGGATGTGTTGTAAAACATAAGATTCGGATCGAACCAAAAATGATTGCTCACTGAGCCGCAAAAGGGCTCTGTAACAGAAGCGTATCCATAACGATCGGCGGTTCTCTTGTAGCACTAAATCGTGCGAACGAATGTAAAGTTCCTTTTTCATCTGGCAAGGACCCAAAGCCAATCCACGTGACCAAAAAAGGTCTGGTATCTAAAATATGTGCAAGAATCGTAAAGTCATAAAATGAACGTTTGGAAGATCTGAAGGGTAAGAAGTGGTATCGAGATTGAATCGTCTGTTATGAGCGTGCTGGCACTATAGAAATATCGATGCAACTAGTGTTGGGATTATGCCTCGGCTGTCTGTGAATAAATTATCGCCGTATTAGTAAAGTTTTCATGTCGAAAGTCCCCTTCCCCTTCGGGTTCTATCGCCAAGCCTCCTGGGAAAGGCTCAACTCGTTTCTCCGACGCAGAAAAGCTCTATTTCTCCAACGCCGCCAGAATAATTGCGTGCACCTTCACCCCACTCCGAGAATGCGATTTGGATGTCGTCGTCGCTTTCAATTGTTACAGAATCTCCATCTTCGTCACGATATCGCAGCTTCAAAGTGCCCTTAGCAATCGAACTAGTTGTGAATCGTGCAAGTTTAACATCGATGCGGTCGCTGAGAGATTGATACGCGATATTAAACGGAACAACAAGCGTGAAATAGTTCCCACTATCACAGTTCACCTTGACTTTTAGTTGTGCGGGAATTGACGAATCCGGACTCGACAGTGGGTTGCCTTGCGTAGCAGTGCCTAGCGGCGGCGACACGGGCTGTCGATTATCTATATTCAGTGTCGGGGGTGCTGTCCCTCCAGTTGTTGTCCCCGAGGCCGGAGTTGCTTGTCGAGGATAGATAGGTTGCGTGGGGAATTGAGACAGAGTGCCTCCGTCACGCTGTACACCTGGGCTCTGAGTATTGGTACGAACGGGGATGTCCTGTCTAGGGGAACCGGTTTGAGACCGCGGGATGCTTGGGTCATGTGCAGGGTGGAGATGAGATGGAATTCCAGGCACCGCGGGGACCGGGGTACTGTTGTTAGTCCTGCGTCCGTTTTGCTGCCCGTTGATGTCTGGAGTGCTATAAGATCGGCTACGTTGCTGCTGAAATGAAGCCGTTCTGGCAGAATTCCTTCCATTCATCGGTGATGGACCGTCTCTCGAGGGAGCTCTTGGCAAAGCTGGGGCAGTGTAACGGTTATTATCTTCCCAACCGCTTTGAGGTGTTCCAGTCCTTGGGAACGGGTACTGCTGTCCACTTGCGGATGCAAACAAGGTACTTGCCGTGCTTGTTCGTGACGACGCAGGAGACTCTGCCGTGGGAGAAAAGTACGATTCCATAATACGAGCACTAGGCGACTGCGTACCACCTTGTGTTTGAAGACTCAACTGCCCCGGAGGTGCCGGGAGAGGAAAGCGCGGCGGCGGCGCTCGGGCGATACCTGCTAACGAGAGGTTACTCTCTCCAGTAGCAGAGCGTTGCCTAAGACTTGTACTCGAGGCATTACGATTCATAACTCCACCATTCGGAACGCCGCCGAAGCCTTCGCTCGGTTGCGTAACTTGTACTGACAACGTTTCTTCCTCTTCCTCTTCCTCATCGTCGTCCTGCTGAGCGTAGGGATTCTCGAGACCGCCTTGATTTCGCATCCATGCAAAATCCGGTGTGGATTGTTCGGGGCTTATAGCTGCGCTCGGCGCGTGTTCTTTCTTCTGCGAAACCAGCCCCGTCTCCCACTTCTTCATCGTTTCCTCATTAGAAAACTTAATGATAAAGTTTTCTACCCCGGGGTCACCCTTCCACCATATCTGCACCGTATATGAACCTGGAGAAGTTAGGTTAAGTCCTACAGTTGAATTTTTGCGTTGCGTACCCGGTTTTGCGAATGAGAGGACTTCGGTCACGTTTGTCATAAATATCCGCCCCTTAAGCTGCAGTTTATTATTTTTGTTCGGGACCTTCGGCGCAGATTTATTCTTGTCTTTCTTTTCCTTAGTTTTGTTTGGCTGTACCTCCTTGCAGCAGAGGAGAATACACTCGAACAGGTAAATCTCATACTGGACTGTCATCAGTGCCGTTTTATAGACTGAAGAAATCGCATTTGCAAGACTTACATCCTTTTCTTGCTCACTGCGTCCAGTAATGACAGTATACACGCCGTGCAACAATAACCGTCCAAAAGATTTCACGTTATGGCTTTTCCAGTCGTCTACTCTGTTGGTGAGTTCTTCTAAAGCTTCATCTAGTAGGTCACGATTGACTGCCTCATTTGCCTTCGTAAGAACTCGTTCTGCTGCCTTGATACCTGCTGCTAAGTCGGCCTTGACTTCTGCATCTTCGCACTTTTTCAAGAGAGACTAAATAGGTTAGCATCAGTAAATCTAAAATATGAAAGGGGGTCACCAACCCCTAGCAATAAAGGATATTTGACCAATCTCTGCATCGGCTTTAGGAGGAAGCTGTCCAATGTGTTAAAGTCAAACGACACAGGGTGCTCAGCCAATTGAATCTTATCAAAGACTTTGTTCGCTATTTGGCCTGCTTTCCGCTGGTTTGCAATGAAGGGTTGATAAATATCGAAGGCATCTTCATAGGTGACAAACGGCGCACCCCATCGTTGCATATCCTGCGATATCGAGTTTGTAGTTTCGACGCGAATCAAGAATCGCCTCTGAAAATCCAATATCGAATTTATGTTCAAGAATATTTGGTGGATGATATCACCGGTAATCACACCCTTCTGCTCTAAAGTTTTCTTAAGATCATGCAGATTCTCCAGATCTTGGACGTATTTTCGCTCGGTATCGACAAGTTCTTGGATGATATGGTCGCGATATGTCATTTGAGACCCGGGTGCTGTCGGTCCACTCTCCTCCTGATATGTTTGGACCTGCAGAAGTAGACCTCGCTGCTCGGCAAGGTCCAAAACATGATTCACAATTTGGGTAACCTAATCGAGCAAGTCAGTTTGCCTATTCGTGATACATGATTGATATTTGAGCTGGACTTCTGCATAGATGAGCAGACAACACGGACAAGTCATACCTTGACAAAACCAGTGGTATCATTTCCCATCAAATCACTGATCATAAAGGACTCGGAGGGGATCTCGGGACGTTTCATGATAGCCTGGAGGAATTTGAATACGGCTAATTTGGGTCGCTTAGTCTCGTTGGCCATAGGATCGATCTCTAATGGGCTTTCTAGCTGTAAGCAGTTATATATAGTCAAGAGAGGTACTCCAGTTCGCAGCAGATTCCATAAGGATTCCACAGGGCCATCTTCATTGTGGGTTGGTGGTAGGGCATCGAGGTGAACCTCGAAACCAGGGACGCGAGTTAGTCGCTGCTTCAGCGCGATACATATTTGATATAGCGACCTGGAGGCATCGGCTCTCTGATTGATAATATTGGTGGTGGGCACCACATTGCCGTTACTCGATGGGGGAACCATAGATGAAAGCGAAGAATTCGACGAGTTGATGGCTGTCGAGCCGGATAACTGGCTTGTGCGGAGGCTGCTCGTAGTAGACGCCGACATAGGTCCGTAATTGTTGTTGGCTGGGAAGACGGGGGCCGTGTTCGTCCGTAAAAGTGCCGGAGCATGTGCCATACTATTCAACCCATACGACTTTCGCCGCAGTTGGACACGCTTTGGCTGGTAACCGTACCTAAACGTCCAGGCGGGACGAGTGGTATCGATTCGAGAGACTTGGTTGGCTGGAAGTGTTCAGAATTTCGGGGTTCAAAGGGGTCGAGATTGATGCGGTGGAGGGGCCTGACAGGTTGCGGTGAGATCGCCACGAGATGCTGGTGATGTGGGACGGTTGTTCTTGGGTTTTATCTCAAGTGGACTCCTTCCACGACAAGTTAAAGTGAATCCTAAGGGGGATGGTGAATTTAGATAAGTATCCTGATTTATGCCTTCTTTTGTTATCTTCTCCCCTGAAATAGTTACTGTCACGCGAAGTATCCCAAATGACTCTGCGCTTTCCTCTG